GCTCAGACGCTGGAAATGTGAGTCTTTGACCGTTTCCCTCTTATTTAAGATAGCAGTCTTGTCTGGACAAATTTAATATTGTTGGCAGGATATTATTGGTGGATGTTCTTATTGTATGCAGCTAACCTCTGGCATGGATCTTGATCCTCCTTCTACGTTGATTGTGCTGCCAGTTTTAATTCTTCCAGGCAAACATCTATGGTTTTGTGTGTCTTTCGTTGCACTTGTCTTCTCTTTCTTTTCCGTGAGTGAAGTGAACAACAACAACAACAGCAAGAAGCTTTTCAACAGCACTGGCTTTTTCCAAATGAGCAGACATGGTACGCTGGGGTGTATAACCTCTCAAGCCAGACTTTTTTGGTAAAAGGTACCGTGAAGCGGAATCAGCTTAGAAAAGGAATTTGTTTTTACATACGTTGTTCCTGTTCCTGTTAACGCTGCCAGATTTTGTCGAGGGAGAAGGGGAGTCATGCGTTCTGTTGTAATTTTAATGATTACTTTTTAAAATAGACACCCTAGCTCTCAAAAGAGAATGGCATAGAACCCAAGAAAATTGCGCTCAAAATGGCGGGAATCCCATGTGTACGTTTCGTCCAACTCGACGGAGCTAATTTGGGCTAATCGATGAGGTGTCAGGAGGGCACATCTCAGCTGGAACCCTGGAACCATGCTAATTAGCAGCAATTAGGCTAAGCCTCATTTGAACACCAATAAAATTTTGGCTGCCTTCTCCAAAAATGCCCTAAAAGTAGCTTCAAAAGTTAACTAGAAAACACTACACATTACACTGGACATTAAGTTCCCATTCATTACATCTCTTCTGGAATGTAACTTTGTTACATTCTCATTAGAAAAAAAAAGATAGGCTTTTGGTTTAGGTAAACAAATAAAAAGCTTTAATGCTTGAGTATACAGGAATTGTGCACGCATTGCAGCATGCTAGGATCGGGGCCGTTGTGCTCATAAATCACGGTGGCAGGTTCTGTTTCATTGTAGGTATTACATGGTAATATTTGAAAGCCATCCTTTGCATTTTGTTTGTTATGTGTCTGCGATTATTTATATATTTCTGTTTGCAGCCTATTGATGTTCTTAAACTTTTTGCTCCTCTGTTGGCCAAGGCTTCAGGGATAGTTATTTGTCCAGAGTGACAAACTTGTAGCTTTCCCAGTCTGGATGGACTACAACTTCCATTGTTCTTGGCCATTAGCTGCGCTGGCTTGGAATGCGTAATCTCACAACAAGTTCACATCTGCTTCACTTCAATATTTACATGCTTTCATTAGAGAGAGAGAGAGAGAGAGAGAGAGAGAGAGAGAGAGATTTTGCTGTGCAGAATTGTGTTGAAATTCAGAGGAGAGATAGTACAGGAAATGGTCCCCAAGCAATAAGACTACAGGTAAAACTAACAACAAAAAAATCCTTGCAATATTAAAAAGTATGAGTCATTTATGTGGTAATTTCCCCTCTTCTCTGTCATTCCTCTGTATATTCTTTTCTCTTACATTTCAGGGGTCTAATTTGTCACATCGCCGGTTTTACCTGTTAGAAAACTTTGCTCTAATTTAGCTCCCTGAATATTCAGAAAGATTAAACTGCAATGTTTAAAGTCAAGATCATTTATCCTCCAGCGGGTTTGCTCTCCGAATGCCCTATTCTTCGCCTGAATTTGCTGCGTTCAGAACGCGATCAAAAGCCCTAGAAAAATTCCACACTGACAAGGAGAGGAATATTACAATCCCTCATCCTTGGGAGCAAGAATGAGACAAGTGAGGTTTTACATCCTTAAGCAGAGCCAAAATATTAGCGTTGGTCTACTGTGGAAAAGAAAATGGGACCATCCCTCAGGCAAGTTAATTTGCCCTGTGTCAGAGATGTAGGGGATATAATTCACCTTAGATTATATGTCAAAGATGTACTGGCCCTACTGCAGATTATGATCTTGCAGTTTAGTCATAGTTTCTTGTGTTGTCCAAACTGGGAAACTGTGGTTATCACCTGAGCAACTAGCCAGGATCGCAAAACCACAGCTGAGTTGTCGTTGATTTAAGAGCCTCGATCAGTGGTTCCCAACCTTGAGTCCCCAGATGTTCTTGGACTACAACTGCCACAAATCTTGGCCAGCCCAGCTACAGGTAAAGGCTTCTGGGAGTTGTAGTCCAAGAACATCTGGGCACCCATGGTTGCAAACTAGTGGCCTAGATTGTCCCCAAGATTAACTCTTTGGTTCAGAGAAAACAGGGAACTATAATCTATTGGCTGTTTCTGTATTGCATCCAGATGTGCTATGAGTGGAGGAAGGAAGGGGCAGATGAGTTAGTCCAAACTGAGGTTTGGCATGCCTAATTTGGCCAGAGCTAATGGGATGATGAGTGGAAAAAGGAAGGGGCATAGTCCAAACTGAGCTTTGACATGCCTAATTTGGCCAGAGCTAATGGGATTTAAACCCATTTGCTAGCACCCACTAAAGTGGACCTACAAAGTCAACTACTGAATAATAAGTCAACTTTTACATCTACCCCACTGATTGAATGGGTTTAGTCTAGTTAGGCAATAGCAGAAGATTTAAACCTGAGACTGCTATTTTGGCACGTATGTTAAAGCAGGAGTTGATGAAAGTTGGGCAGTAAAGAAAGGGGACAGGAAAACATTGGGTCCATGTAGTGCTGAAGAGAGACCACCAGAAAGATCAGCAAAAGAGTCCTAAATGCCATCAAGCTTTCTCTAGGAGAAAAGATGTCTAAATTGAAGCTATCCTACTGGGGGCACATCATGAGAAGATGACACTTGTTGGAAAAGATGATAATGGTGGGAAAACATGAAGCCAGCAGGAAAAGAGGAATTCCTAATATGAGGAGGATTGAGTCAAAGGAAGCCACGGTTTGCCAGAGTTGAGCAGGGCTGCTACGGGTAGGCCCTGCTGGAGGACACTCATCCATATGGTCACTGTAGGAGGGAGCTGACTTGATAGCTTATAACAGCAGTCTTTTATGAGGATTCAAAGCTGCACTACACCAGCGCCAGCCCTCCTAAGCTAAACAGGAAGGAACCACCTGGCCACTTTTAGCTTTTTCAATGTGTATGGGATGGAAGGGGCAAAATAAAGCATAGGCTTGTACGTCTTGTTTTGTAGGGACACTGACACTCCGGGAGTGTCCCTTCTCTCCTTTTATAGCCAGAAATTGTGTCTTAACAGTGTGATTGTGGGTTTGGGAGAGCTGCCTACAGAGGCAGGAATTTCTACCTCTCTGTTGGTGTGTAAATCCACTGAACACGGCAGGATTTCCAGGTAAATCAATAACGCTATAACATCACCCCGCGGAGCTGTAGGTGGCTTGCCCGCCTGCTCTCTTGCTTCTGCTGCTCTTCTGGGAAAATAATAGGTCTTGTCTTGCGTATTCCAAATGTTGTGTCAGGATGCTCACTGTCAAGATGTATCAGAGTAATTCGTGTTAGATTAGCGTGCAGAGCGGAAAACATATGTGACCCAGGAGCTTCATGCTTTGATTCAGCTGGTGCTTGGTGGCAGCTGAGATTTGTTTGACTAGCCTCTGGAAAGATGTAAACATTCTAACATTAAAAATCGGTTATGCATGTAACGGGGCATTGCAGGTTTGGGAAAGATTACAGCCTACGTCAAGTGTGGGACTGACAGTAATCAGCTGCACACTTTTCCCAGTAAAAGGCCGTGCATCTGTTTCATTTTTGGAGGAATTATAGATAGATCTATGCCTTGGAAAAGACTTGGGTTCAAGTAGATTAATATTTTCCAGTGCTGCCATAAGTTGTTTGTTTGTTTTATGTACAGTGGTACCTCGCAAGACAAACGCCTCGGGCCACGAAAAACTCGGAAGACGAAAGCGTCTCGCGATTTTTCCGTGACTTGCAAGACAGCTCTTCCTATGGCTGTGCTTCGCAAGACGATTTTTCCTCCGTCTTGCAGTCATTTTTGCAAGACAAAAAAATGGCATTTGTCTTGCGAGGCAACTCATAGGAATGCATTGAAGGCAATTTAAATGCATTCCTATGGGAAACTGTGCTTCGCAAAACGACGATTTTCGTGGTACGAAAGGACTCATGGAACTAATTGTTTTCGTCTTGCGAGGCACCACTGTATTCAAGAAGCTCCTGAAGTCTGCACCCTTATTTCATTTTCAGAGATGGGTGTGGCAGGGTGTTATTTTTATGCCAGAGTTAATGCTAACCTGAGCATGCAACCGTGCTTTGATACAGAGTTGTAAACAGCAACCTGGCCTTTCCGTAGTTACTCTTGCCATCCATGCCGACGTAACATTTGATCATCTGGAATGGGAACTCTAAATAAATAAATGGAAGCAAAAAGGTATTTGTGAGCTGAAGGCGTTGTCTATCCCTTAACTGGAAGACTAGAAATGCAACACCCACTACCGATTACAGAGAAAAGCTCCAATATTTGTAACTCTCTCAATTTATCTGCTATTTCTTTTCCATTGTGTGTGCGTAAAATCAGATGAGTGCCGATTTTTATTAGCATTCCACGTTTCAGTGTTGAATGTTCAACTAACATCTCTGGGCAGAGATAAATTAGAGGGCAGCTTTGCAACTGTGGTTGAAGATGGACTTCCAAGCAGCGCATTGCTTCAACGCTCTTGGGTTTGCAAATGAGTCCCATGTTTACCTTCTGATGACCAATCACAGAGCAAAGTGAGCTGATGGGGAACTAGTGGCTCTAGAATGCTTGGGGTAAGTGACGGACCAATTTAAGAAGCTCCCTTTCTAAAAATTAAGATGGCTTTTCACCATTTTCTGAAAGCTGGATCTCTTAGCAGACCCTCATATGGAAGTAACGTCAGGGCAAAACTGTGGATGAAATTCCATGTTTACTTAACACATTAATAGCCAGAGAAGAAGGTTTCTGCGAATCGGACAACTGAAGGCAGTTTCTCCTATAATTTTCCTCTAATATTTATTTTGTATTTCTTCATTTATTCCGCCCCCCCTTCCCTCTGTCTCTACGCCAGTGGCTTTGCCTCCAGAGAAGACAGATGGAGTTTGCAGCAGTGATGAAAAGAAAATGGAAAAAGAGACCGACACACGCGCCAGTGCCAAGAAGCAGCTAAAGTTTGAGGTATGGGCTTATTCTGTCCTCTGATCCTCTGTTACTGCAATGCCCCGAGATAACTAATATTTTTTTTGTGTGTGGCTGCAGGTTCTCTTTCAGCCCTCTTGGTTTTCTCACAAGTGTGGTAGATTTCATTTTTTAAAAATCCTTTCTCCCTGCTTGCCTGCTTCAGATGTCCTAAATATGGCCCGTTCTCCAGACTCTCAAGGGAAGCTCAGCCAAACTCAGGAGATGTGCAGTCTTGCTTTTTGGAGGTCCAGTTGGGGCAGGGGTTTGTCCGTGCTTGGGAAAGGGGATGGGCAGATGCAAAGGGTGGGTCAATGCGTAGGACAGGAAGACCTGGAGATGCCTCCTCAAACTTCTTCTGTTCTATTAGCAGAACTTAAATACATTTACCTGCTCAAATGTGTGGCACCTAACCTCTGTAGGGTCGTTGGACACTCACATGCTTTGTACCCTGGGGGATTTTTTTGGTCGGGGTGGGGTGGGGACAAATTACAGCTCCCAGATGCCTTAAGGCAGTGGTCCCCAACCTTGGATCGGGGTGGGGTGGGGACAAATCACAGCTCCCAGATGCCTTAAGGAAAGGGTTGATTGGCTGCTTCTGAACCATTTTGCCTTTTTTTCTTAGGATGGAAGGGGCTTTTTTTCAAAAACAGATGACCCAGTCTCCTCCCTCACAGAAGTATCTGGGAGAATGATTGGTCAACGTTGGCTCCATTTTTTTGTTTTGTGTGTGTGTGTGTGTGTTTGTGGGGGGTGAGGGTGTGCTCCATGCAAGTAAGGGCTCTTTCTTGTGTGGCGAGTCTCCAGCTGGATCGGGAGCCTTTCCTGTTCACCCCTTTTGCATTCCCAATGGGGAAGGCCATGACAACAGGGTCCGGGAGGAGCCCCGCTGCTCACACGTTGATTAAAAGCAGTACTGTAATGCCTGAATAGGTTTTGAGCCAGAATAGGGAGAGTGGGACCAGCAACATTTGATCATCTGGAATGGGAAGTGGTGGAGTGCAGGGGGAAATAACTTGTTGGAATCAGAATACAGGTTTTGAAGAACCAATGTTGGATGGAGAGGAGGCCATGGAAGAGTTCCCAGGATGTGTTGGTGCCAAGAAGAGGATACTGAGAAATGTTAAAATGTCACGGATGGGATTTTCATATAATTGCAGGACTCCCTGCCCCAGAAGCCACTAAGCAGACTTTTGGGGCTAGAAGAGGAGAAAGGAATTCTTTCTGTTGTTGTTGTCTGCTTCACCCCATGGGTTTTGGCTGGGAAGCCAAAGGGATGCCCCACGGTCATGCTGCTTGCTGTTGACTCACCTCACTGTTCAACAGGAGGGGAGTTGATTGAGAGACTCCCCCATGGAATTTAATGGGTAGCAAGACTACCTTTCCCATGGAGCTGTGGGATAGCTCCCAGCAAGCAGTGGGGTGGAGGTGGATGTACCTTTGCGCTTCCCAGTCAAAAGTGTGGGTCATGAGACAGAAAATGGCAGGAGGACGACCGCTCTTTGGTCCTCTTCTGTCTCCTCCCCCAGAGGAGATCTGTCTGGGGGATACTAGGTGATGTCTGGACCTGGGAATCCCGGAATTACCAAAAATCCCATCTCTGCAATGTTGATGCCAAGGGAAGACAACATTTGCCAGGCCAACCTTCTGTATCATGAACCCTTTGCTTGAAACGCTTCATCCTTCATTCCTTTTCATGTGTCCGTCTGTGATTCTTCTGCCATATAATTATGGCTTTTGTGTCCATGTGCACACAATTTGTTTTGCTTTCTTTGGGCTCTTCCCCCCCCTCCCCTCCCGGTTCCTCTTTGTAGTCCGCAGCCCTCCTTTTCGAGTTATAAACTTCCTGGTGGAAAAAGATGCTTGTGAAAAGCCTTTCATCTCTCTGGGCCCTCCCGAGCGATCCGACCTTGACCCTAGCAGTGCGGGAAATCCATCTGCTTAGATGGCGGCAAGGAAGAAAGGTCTTGCTGGGAACGGGTCTGATGGGCTATTTCCTTATAGACTTACAAACACCATAAAACTGCCAGGCGTTGTGCGCTGTCCTCAGGCTTTTGCTTATGAAGCAAGATTTCATGCATGCAATGGCTGGAACGCCAAGTTGGGCCATCGGAAAGGCTGCCTGCCGCTGTCGTGGACCAGACACTTTGGCGCTGTCGAAACAGCTTGCCTGTTGCTTCCAGGCTGATGGTGATCTGTGCCCTACCAGTTGGTCAAGAAACGCATTCTTCTTATCCTCATCATCTGGAGTGCTCTGGGTAGTGTCTGTTCTCTACTTTTAAGTCAACATGAAAATCCTATTCGGGTATTACGCAGTGCCATAACTAGCTGTTTTGTTAGCTTTGCTGCCCGGCTGGTGAAGCATGGAGGAATGGGTTGGAAAACCCACTGGGGCTCAGTGTGTGACAGCTGCTGATCCCACCCACTTGAAATTTCCTTCTGCTGCAGGAGGAATGGTTGGAGGAGAGGGTACACACTCAGGTTGGAACAGGTTGCCTCTTTCCAGAAGCAGGTAGCAATGGGCAAGCTTGTACCTTTTCCACAGCTCATTTTCCAGGCAGAGGATCCTCAGAAGTGCTTTACCCATTCCCTTCCTCTAGGGGGAGCCCTGGGACTGTACAACTTGCCCAGGGCTACATAGGCTGGCTCTTCTTCCCTGGAGGTCCAGTGGGGAATCGAACCACCCATTTCTGACTCCACAGCCAGAGACTTAGGGGGGAAAATGATAGGGGACAGTTGCTCTCTAGTTGGTTGGGACAACAACTCTCATTACCTTTGACAATTAGCTGGGACTTTTAGCTGTTGTAGTCCCCCCCCACCGCCGCCCGGAATCTGGAGGACACTAGGTCACCTATCACTGCTTCAATCTAATTTCGAAGGGGTGCTCCCTCAAGTGGCAAAAATGAATGTAATGTGACACGCTCAAAGGAGTCACAGGGATTATCACTGGAATGTAAACAATGGCTTCCTTTTCATATCTAATTTCAGAGGTGCGCATAACAAAAGAGATGGCTTTCCTGAATATTGAAATAGCAGCAAAGTTGCATTTCCTAGAACATGTGTTTTGGCCCTAAGAGCCAAAGTAGGTGTTAAGGTAACTCATTTCCTATCCTACTTTAGGGTTTAGGCAAAGATCTGTGTCATAGCACTCAGATTTGTAAAGTTCAATGGGCAAAAAGAAGACAAGTTGGAGCAAATGAGCGTTCTCGAACTCCTTGGCGAAGTGCGTTTTCTTAAAATATAATGTATGTGTTGCTTAGTTTGACCTCGAAAGGCAATGTGCTTGGTAGATTTCTGGGGTAGAAGCTCTCTCTTAGGCTGGCCCTGCATATGTCCATGGGAAGGACTGACGAGAGGAACCTAGTCACGTTCCAGCAGATCCTCAGGTTCTAAAATAGTTGGTGGTCTTCCAGCCGAGTCCTACCCAGGCTTCCCCTTGCTCAGCTTCCAAATTCAGAGAAGATCACATGTGCACAGGGTAGTGTGATAGTCTGCCATTGAGAGAGGCAACGGACACAATTCTTCCTTGATAAGGTTCCTGGATTGAAGGTCAAAGCTTGAAGCAGTGATTGCCAACCTGGTCCAGAAGAGCATATGACCTACAGCAGTGGTCCCCAACCTTGGGCCTCCAGATGTTCTTGGACTGCAACTCCCAGAAGCCTTCGCCACCACCTTGGCTGGCTAGGATTTCTGGGAGTTGAAGTCCAAGAACATCTGGAGGCCCAAGGTTGGGGACCACTGACCTACAGTACATGCTCTTCTGGACCAGGTTGGCAATCACTGCTTCAAGCTTTGTCTTCTTTGGCCATTATGAGGGTGGCAGTGCAGGACATCACAGTTCAGACCCATAGCTGCCCCCAAAGGTTTAGACTTGAGATGGTCAGCAGCACAGGAAAGCAGGGAAGCACCAGCCTAGCTGCTTCCGCAATTGGTGTGGAACGAACACTGCGAGGGGTAAGTGGATGGCCCGGTTCTGGTGGGAGGGTTCAATTGGCCCAAACACCTGTGCTGGTGATATTCAGATGACTCTCTGCTGGGAGATGAATACTAAAAGCCCATCTCTAATTTAGACCAATAGCTCCTCCCAAAGTTCTGATTAATAGTTGCCCCAAAAGTTGGGATCAATAGCTTCTTCAAAAGTTTGGACCAACAGCTGTTCCAGTTGCAGAGGTCCCCATTGCTGTAGGGAATGAGACCCTGATTCACATCCATAATACTTTCTATTCCCCATGACACTGAACTGATGTAAGAAAAGGGCACAAACAGGTTCCCACCTTCTGCATGAGAATTCTGTTCCGAGAGGTGTGGGCTTCCTCCCAGTTACCTCTGGGTGCTGTAGGAAACTTGGGAAGAGTGTTTGACAAATAATGTAAGAATCAGGATTCTTATGGATTGCTATCTTAATGTGACATCGGTGGTTTAGGTTTCTGGCTGCAAAGCCAGAGGTGGGGAGTTCGATTCCTTGCTGTGCTGCCTTGACGGGCTGGACTAGATGATCTATAGCGTCCCTTCTAGCTCTGCAGTTCTGAGATTCTTATCTAAGATTATGTCTTCACCAAAACAAAATGTAAGGGGAAGGCTAATGTGTCTTAAGTACTTCACCTCAAGAAGATTCCTTGCAAGAGGGCAGAGAATTACATACTAAAACACACACACACACATAAACAAAGGAAGAGAACCTGATGCTTCCAGATAATGTAAGTGAAGGCAAACACAATGGTAAATGCTTTCATTTTATGACCGGCACCGAAGAATCTGAAATGCAGCTGTTGAGAAAAGAGGGAGAGGGGGGGCTAAATTGGAGGTGGTGGGTGTGCTTTGGCTTTTAAAGGTGCTGGGAATGTTTGTGTAATATGAAACTGTTTCCACTCTCTCTCGTGTGTGTGCAGTGGGGTTGGGGTGGGGAGAGTTTTTTGGCAGCTTTCAGCCAGGGCTTGTTATAGCTAAGAGAAGGCTGCCTTTGAACTCAGCAGGATGGAACGAGGCGGGAGGGGGGGCTGCTTTACCGTTAACTGCTGTAGGGAATTGGTTTCAAGTCAGCAGATCAAGCAGGTATTTCTGAGCTCCCATCATGCCAAAGCTATTTGGAGCTGTTTATTTTACTTGTGTGCAACGACTTTTCCTTTTAATTGCCCCCATGGCCGGAGTTGCGACTCTTGCTGACTCCCGGATCTTCTGAGCCTCAAGAGAAAGGGAGGCCAGCAACTTGAGATGCAGGGGGTGGAAGAACCGTCCAGCAGACGGAGTCTACGGAAGCTTATTGTTTTCCTTTTCCTTTTGTTCCCCCCTCAAGGACTTGAGGTCACGCAGCAGCCCGGCGTAGGAACTAGGATGATCCTGGTTCAAATATCGCCTTGGCGGAGCTGTTGCGGGGTGGCTTGAAACAAACGGATAGGGTTCAAACATGGCTTTGTGGGCGCCGTAGGGAATATTGGCTGTCCTGGCACCCCCGGTTCCAGTCCACCTTCCAGAAGAACGAAGGGAAGCTGGGAGAGGAGCAGGAATTTTGAATTAATAGAGGAAGCCACCGAGGAAGCCACCGATTTCAACTTCGAAATTTTGTGGCCATGTTGCTGAACCACCAGGAACATAGGTCGCTGCCCTCAACCAAATCAGAGTCCATGGATCCCTTCAGTTTAGGATTGTCTATGTTATCTTTACACAAGCTGCCTAAGATTTCAGAAAGAGATCTCCCCCAACCAACCTTTCCAGGAGGTGCTCGAAACCAACACTGGAGTCCTGGGTGTGAAAGAGGGCTTATGCTCTGGAGTCTGACAGATCCCAGATTGTGAACCAAATTGGACTGCATGGGAACGGTGAGCGCACACACCATTGGTATTTATCCTTTCCCATTAACAGTTTGTACAAAACTGTTACTTTATGAATGGCCTTGGCTTGAGAGCCTCTGGATGCCACCACGAGAGACCTTCTAAAGCCCTTTGAGGTTGCACCCTAAATCAGCAGTCACATGATCACGAAAAGCAAGAATTATAAATGTTTTTTGTCCTCTCCTATTCATCCCAAACTGGGTTCTGCCTCAGCAGATGTAAAGCTTTAACGAGTTGCAACGGAGAGACAGAGCTAATACCCTGTTTAAAGGCTGTGTTGTGAAAAAGGATTTTTCAGATACGAGTTTATACTATGGGTCTGTTTCGTATTAAGGGTCACTTCAGTTTCAACCGTATCCTGTCTCATGCTGTGCGTATCTTACTTTCTTTCCTTGAATTAACTAGAGGCTCCCCCTTTAACTTTTGTCTGTCCTTTCTCTCTCTCTCTCTCTCTTTTATATAATGGAAAAATCTTGCATTATGCTTCCCAGCATTTTTGTGAGTGGCTTTCATATAGTTTCTTTTTCTAACTCAATGAGAGCAAAATGTTTCAACTTCTCGAGGAGCCTGAGCAGAATGGAATTAGTTCAGCAGCAGTCCTGGATATCTTCCTTCTCCCATCCAGGAAAATAAATGTGATAATGAGTGCCAAAGTTGTTGCTTTAGGGGTGACCAGCCAAGCCATGGACTCAAAACTGGCCTGGCCCATTCGGATGGCAGAAAACCTTAATGGCGAGCTAGTTTCCGAGATATGTTTTGAAGAAAAGTCAGAATTTTGCCCAGAGGTGAAATTATACGAATGGTTGCATCTTTTGCCCTCATGTATTTCTTGTGACTTCTTCGAAGCATCAGACTAACTTCTGTTGGATGGAATTGGAAATTTGAAATTATTGGCCTAATATAGTGTGACTCTTTTTATCAGATGATTTTACTTTAAGTAAAGATGGACTTTGTGTATTTGTGACTGTGGACATGCAAAAGTGTGTTTGTATAAGGTGGCTTCTCCCCCCCCTCAACTAAATATAAATGAGATGAGATACCTTTCTCAATACAAATGATGAAGATTAAAGGGCCAGTCTCTCAATGATTAAAAATAAAATTTAAAGCAGAAATTAGCCTGGTTTGCAAATCGATTTGATTTGATGCAATGCGATTTTGATTCGATTCGCTTTTTGGGTTCACCAATCTGTTGTTCTTTGTATGCTCTTTAGGAATTGCAGTGTGATGTGTCTGTTGAGGAGGACAACAGGCAAGAATGGACCTTCACACTTTACGACTTTGACAACAATGGCAGAGTCACCCGTGAGGTGAGTGAAGCTTAGCTTTCTGATTTGTATGTGGTGTTTGTGGACAAGGGGAGCATCCTGTATTGTCTGTTAGGGGTGGGATTTTTGGCTTTCTTGGACTACAAACCCCACAGTTCTCCCGGGAGCATCCTGTATTGTCTGTTGGGGTGGGATTTTTTGCTTTATTGGACTACAAATCCCACAATTCTCCATTCTGGGAGGTCTACCCAACAGACAACTTACAGACATCAGACTACTCCTCACCTGGGAGAAAGGCTTCTACTGGAAGGCTTTGAGGCTGAGCTAAGCCTATCTCTGCTTAGCTTCCTGATCAGAGGAAATGTCCCAGCTACCACTGGGGCAGGAACGGGAAGCCTGAGTGGAGATAGACCTAGCTCAGCTTCAGAGCTGTTCAGTCTTCTTCCCAGGTGAGCTACATTTAGTTGTGTGGCTGTCAAGAAGAATGTCCTATCTAGAGATGGGCACGAATCAGAAAAATTGTGATTCATTTTGATTTGTGATTCATCAAGATCGATGAACCGCAAATTACAAATTTGTGATTTTTTCTGATATATTGACAAATTGATTTGTCAATTCATTTTTTGCAAATTACAAATTTATGAGTTTTTCTAATATATAGATAAATTGATTTGTCAATTCATTTTTTAAATTTTAAAACCCTATAAAGTATCTCCCAAAGCACCTAGAGATACCAAAATCACAGAGAAGCTTCTACTGACTCTCCTCTACAATCACTCCAAATTTGGTGAAGATTGGATTTCAGACATCCACGTTATACACCTACAAAATGCATCCCCCAGAAAAGTGCCCTTCAGCAGCTGGCTTGGGGAAACCCCATCTTCACCAAATTTTTAAAACCCTATAAAGTATCTCCCAAAGCACCTAGAGATACCAAAATCACAGAGAAGCTTCTACTGACTCTCCTCTACAATCACTCCAAATTTGGTGAAGATTGGATTTCAGACATCCACGTTATACACCTACAAAATGCATCCCCCAGAAAAGTGCCCTTCAGCAGCTGGCTTGGGGAAACCCCATCTTCACCAAACTTGGAGGAATTTTAGAGGAAAGCCCTGGGAAGCTTCCCTGCAATTTTGTTGTCTTTAGGTGCCCTGTGGGTCATTTTATAGCCAAATAAATCAACAAATCAAAAATCACTGAAATTCGTTAATTCGTGATTTGTTGGGGCATTGAGTCGTATGAATATGAATCAGTGAATCAGAGATTCTTGAACAAATTTGGTGATTCATTTTTAAAATTCATTCCCGTCGCTATTGTCTGCATTGTATTGCTTTTGTAATGGCAGTATGTCTGATGCTAATTGGCTAAATTGCAGTGTCATAGGAGTTTCAGCAGCTCAGCAAGTGGGGTGGATTTGTTGTGTGAGTGCTTTTCTGCCTCCACTAGACAAACACTGGCCATGCTGGTTAGGCATGATGAGAACTGTAGTTTTATCTTCTGGAGCAGTGGTCCCCAAACTTGGGCCTCCAGATGTTCTTGGACTTCAACTCCCAGAAATCCTGGCCAGCAGAGGTGGTGGTGAAGGCTTCTGGGAGTTGTAGTCCAAGAACATCTGGAGGCCCAAAGTTGGGGACCACTGTTCTGGAGAACACCAGGTTGGGGACAGCTGTGTTATATCCACCATGTACAGTTGTTGCTTGATGCTGCAACTGTGTCTGTGCACCAGCTTTTCATTGTACTGCGTTTGGAATACCTTGCACTATTTTTTTTTAAAGCTTGCCATTGTTTAATGTCAGGGATTAGCTGTTTAAAAAGAAAGGCTGTTTAGAAAGTGCTTGTTTTTGAAAGGGATAAAATCTGAAACAAATGGTGTTCTAAACAGAGTGTCAAAACAAACCGTAGCAAACTGTATGTTCGTCTTGGCTCCCCTCTTGCCTTTAAAGCTCAGGTAACAAAATAGCAAGGGGCCTTTTGAAATTCTTTCCAGTGGGATTAACGGCGACAGTCCATCATATTTATGGGCATAGAACAGAGGTCTGGGCCACCCTCTCTGTCAAATTATAGGCTGTCCACCATCAGATTTAATTACAAAGGAACAAAATGTGGCTTTGCCTAGAAAACTTGGATTTTCTAGGCAGCTTCAGCTTCCATGCGGTTCTAAAGTGCAGCGATCGACCAAACTAGTAGATTTGAACAGAATGTTAGAGAGAAACAGTGCAATCGTATGTACGTCTCTTGTGAAGCAAGACCCATTGAGTTCTATGCAGGTGCATACAGGAGCACAGACTAAAAGATTTAGGAGTTTTTCAAAGGACTTGAAACTCCATGGTTGAGACATCTTTCTGCAGAGCCAGAGGTTGGGCGTTTGATTCCCCGCTGTGCTTTAGGGACTGGACTCAGATGATCCATAGGGTCTCTTCCAGCGCTGCAGTTCTAAAATGGAACGGTAGTATGACAGTGTGGCCTGGGAACATTTTAAAAAGGTCTTTTCTTGGCATTGCTACCATCTATATGAAGCTACCGGACTGGAATGAAGCACCCTGGTGTTAAATGCCGTCAAGTCACTTCCGATTTATGGTGACCTTAAGTACGACTTTCAAAGTAATGTGAGATGTTCAAGGAGTGATTTACCGTTCCCCCCTCCTGGATTTGAACCCAGGGGTCCTGAGTCCCTGTCCAAGATGCACTGTATTACACTGCTTGCTTCTCAATGTGGCATTGCCACTGGAATCGGTTGTGGCTGTAGGAATACTGAACTGCTGAGGAGCTTCCCATGAGGAACAATAAATAGAAGCCGATCTTAGCTCTGGCATCCTCTTCACCTGCTCTACGTACGCAACCATTACTTGGACATATCTATGCACTCCTTGGATGAGCCGAAGCCCCACTGATTCCAACTAGTGGGGTCTCCAGTTCTCTCCCCCCCACACATATTTGCACAAATTTGTCACTTTTTTGCAAAAAAACACAAAAAATTGTGGAAGAGTAAATAAATTTTTGACAAGGGGGAAAAAAGCTATATTTTCCCCAGAACATCTTGTCCTTCGTACAGTATTTTCCAAGATAACCAGACTTTGTAATGTAGAGCATGAGGTTCTTCACGTATGGTTACAAGGTTTCCCCTGCAAGAAAACCCTTTTCTCTCTTTGCAAGCCTTTTTGCTAAGTAAAACTAAAATAAAAACAGTGAACTTTTTGCTCTTGCGCAGGAGCAAAAAAAATTGACCATGAATGATGATAACATTTGCAAGCATCTGTTGCACCCATAGTGTTGACTTGCCAAGTCCCTATTGTTTCAATGGATCTTTTCTAACTGGGGCTAAAATTGGATTTAGGCTACGGTCTCGAGGATAGTGGGGGAAGCCCTATTGATGACCGGCTTGGCAGGAGAGGAGATAATTTCCTACCACATCATGTGGATATAATTCCCTAGCATTCTTGACCTTATTCATAAATGAGCTTGCTGTATTTCATGGGAAGCCTTCAGAGGTCTTGGCAGCGGCCCGGTAATTAATTTCACGTGGATGTTAGTAATCAGATTTTGAACTTGAAATAAAGCTACCGCATTGTTATCCATGAGGCTTTGCCTTTCATTTGCTGTATCGCTTTCCATCTGCCTTCTCTCATCCCGCATAACCCCATCGAGCGATTTGGCTCCAGCATTGCTCAGTCACAAAGCTGTTGCTTAAAATCCCTCCTCTCTTGTGGGGAACTTTTCTCTTTTAAAGTTTCTCCAATCCCACCTCCCTTTCCTTCCTGTCATTCCTTCGTATGAGACAGTGTGGTGTTGCATTTTCTTCCTGCACTAAAATTCATTCTCCTCCCTCTCCTGCATTATTCCTAATCTATGTGCCTTATCTATCTATCTATCTATCTATCTATCTATCTATCTATCTATCTATCTATCTATCTATCTATCTATCTATCTATCTATCTATCTATCTATCTATCTATCTATCTATCTATCTATCTATC